TGGTTTGAGCTCTTCCTTTATTAATTCTAATATCCTAATTATATGTCCTTCAGCAAATTAGCAAAACCTCTCCTTTTTTTGCTTTAAAAAAAAGTAGTGCAGGTCCTCTTTGTGGGTGCAGCGGGTTAGAGTACTGCACTGCAAAGCTAAGCCCAGCTGCTGGCTCCTCCAGCATGAGTTCCATCCCTGCCCGACGGTGCCCAAGTGGCGCAGCAGACCTCTCCTGATTCGCCCACTGCTCCCCTCAGCAGTGTACTTCAGTGGATCTGCCAGTTCTGCTCCCCGCTCTGTCTCTGGTGATTCCTCTCACCATCCCTGCATCTCTAACCTGTATCCCATTTTTCTGTATGCATAAATAAAATCTTAAAAAAAAAGAGAGGTGATGCACATTTAAAAAATAAATAAAATAAAAAAGTAGTGTAAATAATACATGAATAAACTTTCACTGTTAACAATTGCTATTTTGGTGATTAGAGTTTGTAGTATACATTTTTAATATAGTACATTGATATCATATTTAAGTAATATTATACCCCGGTATAGACAGTAAGTGAATAAAATCTAATAATAATGTACATTTTTCTCTTTCTTTTCAGAAATTGTATTATTATTGTCATATATACCTTATGTACTATAAATCTCATGTTATATGATTATTATTTATATAAACACGTTCCTTTTAAAGAAATGTAAACACCAAGATAAAAGTTAAACTTCCTTTCCTCCCTATATGCAGATTCAGCTTTCCCTCTGACATCATATCCTTCTAAAGGAAGGACAAAGACGATGAAGAGCATTGCGCTCCATCTGAAAGACTTTCCTTTAACATTTCCTGTAGTAACTATGAGTTGATAATGACCTAAAAAGGCTTAACTTGGGAGCCCTTCTTATTGGCACAGCAGGTTAAAGCACAGCACTAAGAAGCTAAAGTCACTTCAGCATGAGTTTGATCCCCGCCCCGGAGGTGACCCACATGGCGTGGCAGACTTCTCCTGACCTGCCCACTGCTCCCAGCAGTGTACTTTGTTGATCTGCCTGTTCTGCTCCCCACTCTCTCTCTGGTGAGTCCTCTCACAGCCCCTGTACCTCTGGCCTTACCCCAGCAGACCTCTCCTGACCCGCCTGCAGTGTACTTTGTTGATCTGCCTGTTCTGCTCCCCACTCTCTCTCTGGTGAGTCCTCTCACAGCCCCTGTACCTCTGGCCTTACCCCAGTTCTGTATGCATAAATAAATAAATCTTAAAAAAAAAAAAAGGTTTAACTTGGTTTTTATTTTAGAAACATTTTTTACTATATATTTCTTTACATTAACTGATTTTTTTTCTTTGAATAATTCTTAAATGTTGCTTTAATGTTTCCTTTGCTTCCCAAAATAAGCCTATTGTCATTCTTACCTTTCCCTCTGTAGCTTGCATGCCTTGATTCTCTGGAGAGTTTTCTTTTTTACCACTGGTTTTGAACAAATAGATGACAGGCCAGAGTGTCATTTTCTTTATTCTTCTTAACTCTGGGATTCCCTGAGTTTCTTGCATCCATGATGTTTAGATTTCCTCAATTTTGAAAAAATTTTAGCTATTATTTCTTCAACACCTTTTTTGACACCCACTTTTCAAGCACCTATTTTTCATCTATTAGGAAGCCTAAAGCTCTCCCACAGCTCACTTTCATTTCTTAATTTTTTTTTATTTCTCTCTGTGCATTGTTTTGGATAGTTCTTTGGTTGTATGCTCAAGTTCAGTAATGGACCTCCAGGACAGGTAATTTTTAATAGTAGTCAAGGCTTTAGGAAATCACCTGACTGTGGGGGATTAGTTCTATGCTGGCTGGGTGGGTTAACTTTACACTTTATAAGCCTGTATCTCATAAAGGTAACTAATCATAAACAGGGTGTGGAGAAGCTTCTGGTTAGTCTCCATGTTTGGGGAGCCTTGGGGCATGTCTGAATTCTGTGCAGGCCTTTCTGTGCAGAAAGTATCATAATACTTTCTGAAGTCTGGCAGTGGATTAGAAAGCCTTCAATGCTGTTATGCAAAACACAGTGCTCAATTAGAATTCTGTGTATAGTTTAAGAAGCATTTGATATCAGATGTATCCAGATCATCTATTGGTGTTCCTATCCTGGCCAATGGCAAAGATCAATGAAAGGCTCATCTATTTTACATATCTGTTCATGTACACTTTCCCAATATGCTCTAAATTTCACAAACATCTTAGAATGTTTATTCCGTGGCAGGCATGACATTTACTATGGGGCTGGTGATTGGATAAGCCTGGTAATAAAGGAGAAGACTCCAAGATGTTTGAAGGTTGAGGCTCTTTAACTGTTGTTTCTGAGCACTTAGTATCTTGCTTTATGAATCTTCCTCTTCATCTTCCACCATCACATTCATCATACAGCCAATCTTATGCCCTGAACATAAACAAAGGTGAGATGGGACAAAGTGAGAACAGGTTAGGAACTGATCTCATCCCGTTCACTGATTTATCTATCCTTATAAAACATTTCCTTAGTGTCAGATACTGCAAGACAACAGATAATAAATATGTTGGTTTCTGCCTGTGGCTCCCAGCATAAAGTCCCTAAAATCCTTGCAATTTTCCATGATAAGAGCTCTAGGAGCACCTCATGGTCCCTGACAGAGCCCTTAAGCCCTTGTAAATATCTAAGTATCCAATAAGAACACTAGAACCATCTTTCATTCTGAAGCAAATCTGGATAGATTCCTAGATGGGACTGGTCACCAGAAATACCAAACCATCATTAGAAGCTTGGGAGTTTTCAGTTGTATTGTCCACACTTCTAGAGAACATAGAGGAATTGGAAATGGACCTAATAATTGGTTATGGCTATGTGATGAAACTTGCATAAAAATCCCAAAAGTATAGGGCTGGGAGAGCTTCTAGATAGTGAACACATCTAATTCTACAGAACAGAAGAGCCTGTGCTTAGGACCCTCCCAAGACTTTGCCTTATGTATGTCTTCATCTGTATTCTTTATCACATCTTTTCTTTTTTTAAGATTTATTTATTTGTGCATACAGAACTGGGGTACAGGCCAGAGGCACAGTGGCGGTGAGAGGCTTCACCAGAGACAGAGTGGGGAACAGAACAGGCAGATCGACGAAGTACACTGCTGAGGGGAGCAGCGGGCGGGTCAGGAGAGGTCTGCCACGCCATGTGGTCACCTCCGGGGCAGGCGGGAATCGAACTCATGCAGAAACGGCTTTAGATTCTCAGTGCTGTGCTTTAACCGACTGCGCCACCAGGGAGGGCCTATCACATCTTTTAATAAACTCTTCAATGTGTTTTCCTGAGTTCAATGGCCTGCTCTTATAACTTAATCAAACCCAAGGAGGGAGTCATGAGAACTTTCAATTTGCAGTCAAGTTTAATATAAATTGTAGGTAACCTGCTACTGTGTGTAGCATGCAAGCTGCAGTTGGAACAACTTCTTTATGCTAAACCCCTAACCTACAAATTCCAACATTCTACAACTTGACAGTGTGAGAGGTGAGCTAAAATGTATTATAGCCAGGCGGTATAATGGATGTTATGAAGAATTGTGTAGTCACCAGAGTGTCACACAAGTAAAGTACTTTGTGTGAAAATGAAGGAGAAAAACAAGGGAATAAGTACTGGGTTTTCCCCGACAGAGAAGAAAAAATCGGATTTAATGGGGTTTTCCCTACTATAGACACCATGCACAATGTTTGTCCTATAAAGGCTAGTGGACAGTCTTCATCCTTAAAGAATTCACTGTCCAATGATGAAGACGGACAAGCAAGCAGTTAAAAAGAAATGATGGATGCTAAGACAAAATAATCTAGAAGGCAGATATCTAAATCTTAAGAAATCATAAATTCTTTGAAAGAAGTGGTGTTTATCTTTCACAGTTTCTAACAACGCAATTTATAGATGGTGAGTGCTTAGTGAAGAGGCAAAAAAGGCTATTGTCCTTTGCTAGTCATTCAGTCTGCTGGGCCTCAGTTTCTTCATCTGTAAAATGTGACTGATGATACCAGCCCTGCCTATCTCTCTGGGTTATTGTAAAAATCAATGGTCGCGAGTGTGATTTTTTAAATTAATTGTAAAGCTCTCTAAAAATAAATATGCTAAAACAAGTTAGATTCATAAATGACTGTTAAATTTTAAAATAGAAGTTGCTGAACTTGGATGGAGCTGGAAAAGATCATGCTTAGTGAGATAAGCCAGAAAGAGAAAGAAAAATACCGGATGGTTTCACTCATAGCAGGAGTATAA